ATGCAACATGCAACATGCAACATGCAACATGCAACATTTAAAAAATTGTTTTAAAATAGCTGTCTACAAAATCAAACGTAAAGCTCTATTGCTATATATATACTGTAAAACCATATATTTAGAGGTATGTACAATGATTTAGGTTCAGATTATTAGCCACAAGCCACAGTAGAAAGAAATATTAATAATGATAATAATAAAAAAGATAAAGGAAAAGAAAAATTAGAAAAAATAATATAAAAGAAAGATCGACACCTATATGAGACTTACCAAAGAACTCCTGTCTATGTAGTAAATCGTCTTTTGTTTGAAAGTAAAATATTGTATCAATATTGATTCTTAAAAAATATATATAACAAAACACATGCACCTCACAAATAGAAATGTAGAGACTAACTCTTTATTAATTGTCCAATAAATGAATATAACATAAATTTTTCGGCTTTCTTTCTTTAAATAAAAAAAGTTTGAACTCCTTGTATATTAATATTTAATATTTAATGAAAATACACAAGTGATTATCGAAAATCTCGCGCGCTGGTTGGTCGAGAAACTCACACTATTACACGATAATCACCTCTAGCGATAATCCAAAATGGCGGCTAGCCGCTTTGTTTCTGTTACCGGAGAGGAATTAGAAATAATGAAAAAAAATCCTGTCCCCAAAAGCACTAAAGAGGCTGACAAATTTGCACTAACTTTGTTTAAAGGTAAAAAAGGACTTAAAACAATCAAATAAGCTCAAACAAACTGTTTTGATTCGCAAAGTCGGTGTATTAAACRAAGGCATTTTTATTTGAAACCATTTGTTTATGTTTTTCCTAATTTTAAATGTGTCTTTTATCTTCTTTTTTTTCTTTTCTTTTTTTGAAAGAATCACCTGTGCATTTATACTAAAATAATTATTTGCCTCAGCCTCAGTGAATATCGGAGAATATTTACCTCGCCGCTCGAAGACTCGCGTCTCTGTAAATATTCCCCGATATTCACTTCGCCTTCGGCGAATAATTGTTAAATAGTTAGAAAAGGAACCTAAAAACATACTGGCACCTACAATGAATATGAAAAGCTAACTGTGTGAAGTGTCAATTGACTTACTGCTATGTTTAAACTGTTAGGGACACACTAGCTTAGACCTATTTTATCATCGATCATAACATTGGTAAACTATCTATTGTTCCCTATCTTATCTCAGTTAAATATTATGAAATGAACAAATTGTAAAGGTATTTTGAGATGAGAAAATTGAATGTTTGCTCTCAAGATTTGTTAATGTACCGTTATTGCGCGGTTGGCAGGTGACGCGTGTCTACAGTGCTTCTATCAATAGACAGATTATGCATCACGGTTTTCCTTCTAGCTCGGCAGGCGCAGGGATCCTCAAGGGGGAGCCTCCTACTTCCCCCCGCCCTCCACCCCACCCCCTCACTTTTTCTCTTTTTGCATATAAGATATCTCTTATATTTTCCAATCTTAACACCCCCGCTTCCATTCCCATTTTTTAGCCAAGAGTAAACCGCTGTTCTTGAGACGTAAATTGACGTTTTTATCGCTTCTCTATCTTTCGATTTACCGTTTGAAAAATAAAAGAAAAAGGATATGAAAGTTTGCCCGTCGTAAATGCGATGCTGTGAAATCACAAATTAAGGAAGACATACATGCGACTAGAAGGCCTCAAATCCCTTTAAAACACTGATCATTATTACATTAGCCACCCCTTGGGCTTCATAGGAATAAAATAAATCAAGGATTTATATACAAAGAAATATATCTAGCAATTTTGATGTCCAGTGTATGACGTCACAGACTCCAAAAAATAATGGTAAAAATATCATAGTTTCGTCCTGAATATCGAGAAAACACTTCATACAGTGATTATTGGACCTTTAAAGAGTATTCTTAGGAAGTTTCAGCTGAATCCAAGTTTGAGCGATTTTCGTCAGAGTAGCACTTTAAACACTCGTGATTATCAAAAGACCGGATAAGGCACACACAACGACTGCAGCAAGTTTTGAAGCAATTTTTTTYCCAGCTAAATGTTTTACATTGTTTTTCAAAGACATGTGCCAAATAGCATCAATCATAATCTTTCATCGGTTCAGACCGTTCTATACAATAATAATCTTTCAGTATCGGTATATTCRTTATCATTTCCTCACATATTTTCAGTACAAAATACTCAATTTACTCGGTGTTAAAAAAGAGGTTTCAAAATTACGGTTAAAACACCATTAAAATACACAAAAACGCGCAGGAAAAAAAGAAAAAAAAGAAAAGAAGGAAAAAAAAAAAAAAACTACAATAAAATGTGGTTTATTTATATTTACAAATAATAAAAGAATAATTGACAAACTTGAATAAAAAATTTAAAATTGGTGCGCATCAGTTTGGCTTACATCATGATCAAATTTAATAAGTGAATCTTAAATGAGTTCGATCATTGTTAGCAATACCTTGACTTACATTAGGCCAGAGGTTGTTTCAGGGTTCGATCTGTGTTAGCAATGCCTTGACTTATATCAGGCCAGAGGTTGTTTCAGGGTTCGATCTGTGAGCTATTATGTGTGCCCTGACTTAGATCAGCCCAGAGGTTGTTTCAGGGTTCGATCTGTGAGGTAGCCATGCCCTGACTTAGATCAGCCCAGAGGTTGTTTCAGGGTTCGATCTGTGAGTTAGCCATGCCCTGACTTAGATCAGCCCAGAGGTTTTTTCAGGGTTCGATCTGTGAGGTAGCCATGCCCTGACTTAGATCAGCCCAGAGGTTTTTTCAGGGTTCGATCTGTGAGGTAGCCATGCCCTGACTTAGATCAGCCCAGAGGTTGTTTCAGGGTTCGATCTGTGAGGTAGCCATGCCCTGACTTAGATCAGCCCAGAGGTTTTTTCAGGGTTCGATCTGTGAGCTACACTGTGTATGTGCCCTGACTTAGATCAATCCAGAGGTTGTTTAAGGGTTCGATATGTGAGTTACTATGTGCCCTGACTTAGATCAGCCAAGAAGTTGTTTCATGGGTGGATACAAAGATGTTTTCACTGGTTTGTCTGGATGATTGTCATGGAGACACGATAAACAAAAGTGAGGGCTACATCATGCAGTCAAGATTATCAAATCCAGCCATTATCACATTAATATTATCATTCCGTTTCAAAACGCATAGCTGTGAATACCTAACAACACTTGACTCGGTAAAGTAGGTAAAGCAGATTGACTGATTACTTTATCACGATAAAACTCAATGAAGATTTTTCCCATGTAAAACATTTTGGTTTTATATTTAAAAAAAACGACAAGTAACCTTAGAGCGGTTTCCATCACCAGGTCTAACCAACCAGTCTGAGCGGCGGCCAGTTCGTAAATGGATGCGTCAGTACTTTAAAACTGGTTAGCCAAGGTCTCAAAACTAATGAGAACTGACGCGTACCATTTAAAATGGACTGGTCGGTTCGACTAAATTGGAAGCGCCTTTAGTCTATTCTAATTATTCAAAATTATACCTTGAATGAAACCTGGTTTGTCTTCAGTTGTTTTGTGTAAAAGCTGAACACAGCCCACTTACGTAATAATTTTGCAGTTCACTGTCAAAAAATACTTTTGTATTTTCCCCAAAAGTTCTCCATTCACTCAAGTTACATTAAAGTATTCAATTAAGTTACCTTTAAAAATATTTCAATAGTCTCGCAGTCGAATTATAATTTTGTGAAGATTTGCTATTTGTACAATAGACATTTTCTTGTTTTTCTTTCCTTATTTCATTCTATTTTTTTCTCTTTTAGGTATTTGCTTTTCATTTTTTGAACAGTTTTTAAGCTTATGAAATGTGTCTTTGTCACTCGGTAAAGATCTATATGTTAAGTGTATGCTACATCGAGCAGATCAAAAAATCTGCCTCAGTTGGGTTCAGTTTTTAAGCTGTTAAAACACAGAGCATACGCATATCTAATATTGAGGTTGAATCTGTCTTTGAAGAGAGCTTGAAGCCTATAGCTAACGTTATCCCCCGCAGGTGAATTACTGAACTGTTCACTAAACGATTCAATTAATAAACTTTTCAAAAATTAAACAAACTAACAGAGCATTGTTCAACTTTCTTAATGTGACAAATCTCTAGCGTTTCACTAAATGTGGAAAAACATTGAACAACGACAATTAACTTGTAAAATCTAAAATCAGAAGCTAGAAACTTTTTGTTGTTTTTATTATTTATTTTTTGTCAAAACTACATCGCTGTTTATTCGTTTCAGCGTCCATTGAATGATAAGGCAAATGCATTCACTAAATCAAATGCAGTTACGTCTCTTTTTTTTTTGAGAAAAGGACTGCAAAATACAGCGTTACATTTCTTTCAACTTTTTTTTTACATTATCTGTCTTTTCTTCTTCTTTTGCTTGTTAGACCGAATGGTGTGATAAAGAATTAAAACTATTTTTTTTATTCCTAGCTTTGTTTAACTTTCAAATTCACATACAATTTAAGAAAGTAAATAAATTGAATTCTCTAATTTAAGAAAGGATTTCAAAAATTGGGGAGCAGAAAAAATTAATCATGACTAGTTACGGAATAGTGAGTAAGCCAGCAAAAGCAACAGACATTTCATCTCAAGCCCTTAATGAAGATTACACACCCTCTTCAAGTTATCTTGAATATCAACTTGATGACTCATCGATTAATGATTATCTCCACATTTCAGGTGCTGATGAAGTAGATTTTCCCTAATTAAGTTTAACAGCATTGAATAAAAGCCGTTTGATGAGGCGTTCTTCTTAGAGTACCTTGCTGTGTTTGCTTCCCATCTCTCGTCATTTCTTCGGATGCTTATCTTATTTTACGAGTATTTTTACCGCACAACCCAGGATGGTTATCTTATTTCCCGACGGCTCACCGAACGCGGAACTTAGGAGATTTGTCGGCTTTTGCGTCTTATCAATCTTAGGGGTGAGAAGTAGACGCCTGGAAACTCCGCACAGCATCGGGAATATGCCTTAAGCGAAAATGGGCAAAAACGCAATGTATTTACCCGCTCATAAAATGCTTAGTTTCTTACTAAAACTGATGGAGCATTTTTTTTTTCACGCATGCGTAGCAGCCATGAAAGTAGTTCGCACTCATATCTATATCATATAATATTTATTTTATTTATTTATTTATTTATTTATTATATCATATAATATTTAATCATATTGATTAAATAGGATTCCGGTTAAGATGCGTCTAAACAGGCTTACCTTTATGAACAGATGTGAATTCACGTGGGAGTAAACCGGTCTACTATTTAACACATCTAACGCCCATGTATTAATAAATTAAGGATGTTCTAAGTGTATAAATAGATGAAAATTTGAAGATGTAAACACTACGTTGAAGACCTAGGACAAACCCTTCACACACTCTAGTTCTGTTCTGATAAGGTAAGCAGCTTTATCTTGCGTATTGTTTAACGATTACTTTGTTTGAGAACGAATCCTTATAGTTTTCTTTTATCTCGAAATTTTTTTTTGAATATTTCTTTGGAGACATAACTCAAAACTCAAGGCAGGACTTCTTGCCCATAAACCGTTTGCCAAATTCTCTCGTATTCGCTACAAATAATACTCTGTAGTTTTAGAATACTGCTGCTGTATGTTATATATTTATAAAATATTTGAAATATAAAGCGCGCTGATTGGCTGACTACCGTGAATATAATTTCTTTGTAGGCATAACTCAAAAACTCAAGGCATGCCTTCCGTGCCCATTGTAATCCGTTTCCCAAATTCTCTCGTAGTGTTTATAAATATTACTCTGTAGTKTTAGAATACTGTTGCTATATTTAACCAATTTCCTACAGTTTCCATGGTATGTCCTCTTATTAACCACGACTTTCGTCTTCTAGCCGTCAAAATGTTGTGGACTAACGAGGCGTAGCCGAAAAGCTATCACCGTAAAATGCCATTAATTAAGACTGTTCTGACCATTAATATATCATGTGTGAACTGAAAATATGTTTTAACGTTTTCAGAACTGTTTCGAACAACATGGCATCTTTGAACATCTTGTTGTTTACCGCCTTGCTCGYTCTGTTGTTCGTTACTTGCTATGGGTTTAGACTTCAGAAAGATCGTAAGTGACAAAAGGAAAGGAAATTAAAAGAAGTAGATGCTTTTTCTTAAGACTTCAAAGCCGTCGTACATTATCTTACTGTAGCCTTAGTTGCATCATTTTGTGTATGCAATAAGATAAATATGAATAAACAAATAAAAAAGAAAACTGAAGAAACAATTGAAAATCATTTTCAAATTACGACAGGTTGTATCGTGTACGTCCTGAGCTGTACCTTTACCATTCGTGCACGTGAAAACCGCTTTAATGCTATCTTAAGATTGCTTTGAATGCGAGGCTAAACTAGAAATACAAAAAGAAATGCCAAAAATTCCATCGAGAAAAAGTGTGACTTCTTTTGTATTTTCATATTAGCCTCGCTTCCACGACACTTTTCAGAAGCGTCCATTAAAAGGCCTTATAATTTGTCCCACAAACATATTTAATAAAAATGCTCTACTGACGCCCACATTTATATGCTATCTTAGTTTTAATTTAGTTATATTAATTTTCACTCTCTTTTCACTTTTTAGTCGAAAATGAATTCGAAGGTAACTCTAAGGAATTTGAAGGTAAGGTTTGCATGAGGAAATAATCAGTTTATCAATCTTAAATATCCCTTTTTATAATTAGACTTCAAAAATATTTTTTCACATATTATTTCTGTGCAGATAATTTTTTTCTCTTTTTTCACTTTTTATTTGTTTCTCAGATTCACAAAAGGCAATTCCAGTTAGACCAGGCAAACGGGAGTCTTCATTTTACAGGATGTTAAACGGTGAGGAAACATTTGGTTTAAGGTGCTACTAAACAGTAGCTGCAACTTAGTGGCTGGTGTGTTGATTGATCATGGTCTATGTTGATCCCCTTGATCATAAGGAAAAAAGGGAGGAAGGAAGAAAGGAGGAAAAGAAGAAAGGAAGAAGG